GGGGGGGAAGGAAGGAAGGAAAGAGGGAGGGAAGGAAGGAAGGAAAGAAAGGGAGGGAAGGAAGGAAAGAGGGAAGGAAGGAAGGAAAGAAGGGAGGGAAGGAAAGAAAGAAAGAGAGGAAGGGAAGGAAGGAAGGAAGGAAGGAAGAAAGGAAAGGAAGAAGCTTTCGGAGCCTGGGGAAGGCAAAAAACAGCCCCCCCCCCCCCGCCATGATGCCGGAGTCTGACTAAGCCACGCCCACCCAGCAACCGGGCAGAGAAACCGTTGCTAAAACTTTTGAAGACCACCCCTGGGTGTCTGTAGGGATATCTATGCATTTCCCAATGATCAACACACACACCTAATGATGCAGGGATCAGAAAGGTAGGGGTAATACAATGGCATGTGAGAATAACCTTGGGAGACAGAGCGAAGGGATGCAGCCAACAGAACAGCCAGATAAGAGGTAGCTGAGCCCTCAGCAGGAAAGTGGATGGAGACTTTCCCTATTTGGGGGGCTGTAAAAGGAACACGAAGGGGGTGTGGGGGGGGAGGAACCACTTTCTGTTAATGTAGCTTTACAATAAAGTAGAATTTGAAATATACCTGAAAGGATGATCCAGTAGGAGGGAGGGAGGTTGATAGAGAGGGAAGGACGGAGGACAAGGAAGGAAGGAGAGAGAGTGGGTGGATTGGTAGACAGAAGACATGGAGGGAGGGTAGTAGTTAGATGGATAGAAAGGGAAGGAGGGTAGAGAAGGGAGGAAAGAACGGGTGGATGGGTAGACGGGAGAGAGCGAGGGAGGAAAGAAAAGAGAGGGAAGGAGGGAGGGAGGGAGAAGGGATGAGGAAGGAAAAAAGAAAGAAAACAGGGAGGGAGGAAGAGAGAGGAAGAAAGGAAGGAGAGATGAGGAAGAAAGGAAGGAAGGAAAAAAGAAAGAAAGAAAACAGGGAGGGAGGAAGGAAGGGAGGAAGGAAGGAAGAAAGGAAGGAAGGAAGGAAGGAAGGAAGGAAGGAAGGAAGGAAGGAAG